GTCATGCAAAGCTAAGAACAATGGCCAAAAGGTATGGCCTAAAACAAGGCCTAATAAGGCCTTAGAGGGGGGAGACAACCCCAAACCTCAAAATGACCCTAAATAAAGTTTTAAAGCATACAAAATCAGAACTTTTATCAGTTATACACTAAGCTTAAAAAAGGATGCAAGGTAGGTTAAAAGCTTGTGCAAAAATGGGTAATAAAAGGGTAAGTTTGTCACCCTTGTAGACTTTCTTCAAGAACAATGGTCCAGCAGGGTTTTTGAGTACAAAGCAACCCAAGAACACCAAAATCAACCTCCAAGGACCTCAGCTCCAAGAGGATGGTGTAATGCTAGGTGTTTGTGTGCAAAAGTATGAACAAAACAACCTTATACACACACAAATATGTAAAGAGAGGGAGATATAGAGATAGATAGATACAACTATTTCTAACCCTAATTTCAGACCTCTGGAACCCCTGAGGAGGGAAGAGAAGCTCCCTCTTTATAGAATTCCAATCTTGCAAAGCTTCCAAAACAAGCTAAGCAAGAGACAAATCCCTCCATACACATGTATGGAGGGGGTGAATTGTGCGTGCCAGCTGTGCTAGCTGGCACTAAATATCTACATAAAGCAGATAAATAGGGGTCGGCTGGAAAATATGGCCGATTGACCAACAAAAATGGCCGGCCAACCAAAAACAATGCCAACCGACCGAAAAATTTGGCCGGTAGCAAGAAAACAGGGCCGGTGGCCTCAAGCCAAGGCTGGTGAGGTGTGGGGATGGCCAACAAGCCATTCCCTGCCCTCAGAAGTAAAAAAAAAAAAAACAAGTGTTTGGTATACAACCAAGCACAAAACAAACAAGTCGAGAGGTCTTAAGGCAAGGCGCGCGACCGAAACCCGAGAATTCAAGACGAACACGAACATGAATGATCACCTAGTGTTCAAACGGTGACATCCAAGTCTTGAGGATGGTCAAAAATGGGGTGTCTACAATTGTATGTGTTGCACTAGTCATCTTGCATAAAGTTAGGATCATGCATTTTTCTAGCTCTTTTGTTTATTTTGGCTTGGAGTACTAAGTGAACCCTTTACTCGCTTTAACATATCACATACGTGTGAATGTTGCCATGTCTAGTATTGTCACGACCCCAAACCGCCCCTAGTAGTTTGGTGCCGTGATGGCCAGTAATCCGAGATTACCGAAAGCCAACTTTCAAAAGTTTAACACGATCAGAGTATAGTATATGGGGCTCACAGATGCGGAAGCGATGAATCAAAATACAAGTGGTCCATAAGAGCTGTGCATAGATCAAATGGAATGGCACACATCTTTACAACTTGAATACAACAAAGTAAAATACGTATTACATCTTGATCAAAAGGCTTCTCGAGCCGACATATACAAAATACAGTGAATACAAGCCAAGAAGCATGATTTTCAAGATTCGCCGACATAAAAGAAATGACATCGCCGACGTGAATACAAAACAAAGCCGACAAAACCATGGATCCAAAACAAGCTTTCAAAAACACATTCTAGGCGTCGCCGACGTCCTGCTCATCACCTACATATATATAGAGAGGGTGAGCTTGGATACTCAGTGAATGGTACTAGTAATAAAGGTTTTGCATGAATATAGCCGAAGTCTTTCAAAACAAAGCATGCCAAAAACCATACTGATATTAGCCGAGATCCTTTCAGAGCAAAACTCATCAAAACTTTATCAAAACAAGAGATGAACCGTATTCATCTATCAAGTCTTACAAGTCTCAAGGGATGCTTACTGGCATCGGCAAAACACAAATCAAGCTTTCCGAACACACAAATCCATGCGGTAAACCGTCAGTGGCAAAACAAGGACTGCACGATCCGTAATCGATTAGTCAAAGGTACTACGAAAGTTTATAGTCCTCCAGCACAAGGGACTTGTGTTACTTAAGCCCATAGCTCCTTTTAACACGATAGTCTTATGTTACTTAGGCCCGTAGCCTACTTTAACACGATAGTCTTGTGTTACTTAGGCCCGTAGCCCGCTTTAGCACGATAGTCTTCCCAAGAAAGGACCGTATCCTTTATTACTTAGTGCTGCGAAAGTTTAGAGTCCTCCAGCACAAGGGACTTTTATACTTGGTACTGCGAAAGTTTAGAGTCCTCCAGCACAAGGGACTTTTCAAGAATGACATCAAAACGAAGCTTATACTTGATACATCAAAACAGAGCTATTCATTCATGCTTAACAAATACTTTTCCTTAAAACAAAGCAAAGCAAGATTTATCAAAACAGTATAACATAGCTTTATTAAAAATACCACTCACTTAGATCTCCTCGGGTGTAGGCTCAAAGCAAAGATCAAAGACCTACAATCACATGGCAATCACATTCTCAAAACAAGCTTTATATGCATGCAAATGATACTGGCATTCTCACCAGATCCAAGTCAATAACAAAGAAAAACATGCTGGGAGTTTAAACACTGTTTCTGTCTCATGAAAACACACTGGGTACCAACCAGGTCTTTGCCGAGGTCCTACACCTCCCTGCCGAGGTGTGGTCCCGATGGCCTCATTCAAAAACAAAGTCGGGAAAACCTGGGTTTCCCTTTGAAGAACATGAAGAACATGATGAACATGATCATGAGGAAGATGAATGCAAGATCGTAACTTGTTACAAAAATATGAGATTTCATGCCATGAGTTCAAAACATGGACCTGGGTACCCATACAAGAAGATCATGCAAGAACAAACACAAAAACATGGTTCCTGTTCCAAACTTTCGGATCAAAACGAGACTTTTCTTCAAGAACACATGAATACTATCTTTCTCTTCCGAAACCAACTTCAAGTCGATGCATGACATGCTAAACAAATTCGATCATGCAATGCAGCTAGATGATCAGTAACAACAACCAGAATAGATTGAGATTCTAACCTCAAAACTCGAACCCAACGATTCAAACCTCGAAGATCAAGCTTGGAAGATCTATTCTCACTCAAGAACTTCTCCTCCTTTCTCTAGAGCTTTTCTCTCTAAAGGCAAATATTTGAGACAAAATGATTTGTTTCTAGGTCTACCGGCTGTCTTAACAATCAGCTCGGACATGTGGCGCTACCGGGTTGGTTCAACTCAAAAGGTGATTGATTGATAAGACAAGTCTTATAACAAAGCGTATACAGTAAGCTAAGGCAAGACACATCGGCAAGTAATGACATCGGCTGAAGTCAAAGCTTCGGCAACAGGGTAACAAAGACATCGGCTAGGGAGGACGACACTTGACTAAGCTGTGCCACACCTTGGCCTGGGTGTGCCACACCTCGGTCTAGGCCATACCTGCCCAAGGACAATGATCACTAAGTGCAAAACATCTCGGCAACATGCCCGAGGTGAAGATGGGGGTCGACCAAGTGGTTCCAAAACAGTTCTAAGCACAAAGGTTCAGAGGTGAACTAAGCTCAAGATGACCTCGGCTACACACCAAGCAAGGAACAAAATCATGCAAGCAACACTTAAACAAAACAAGGCAAGGCAAAACTTGCAAAACAACATAACAAGACAAGATCATGCATGAATGTATGCAAGTATGACAAGAGTAAGGTGAGGGTTGCTACAAGTATGCTTACCATGAGGCTAAGTGTTTAAATGATAAACTACTTGAATGCCTGTGGATGAAGGCTAATTGCTTGAATTGGAATAAATTGAGTGATGTTCATATTCGATCACTTTTTCAAGTGGTACATATTTCGAAACAATTTTCAAAACAAACATGACTCAAGATGTTCCAATTCTTGCAAATTTAGTCTATACTTGTGTGTGCGCACATCACATAGTAAATGCTAGTCTAGATAAACCAGAATAATAGCTTGTAATGTTGATAAAAATCATATCATGATTAGTAGAGGCCGATCTTTGATCAGGCGAACGGGGGTGGTCAAATGTATTCATGACCTTCCCCCCTCGTACCTAAGTTCCTATGCCGAGACAATCTTGGTGATGACGGACATGTGGCCTTTGGCATGAGTCATGGGTTTCCTAAATTTTTCCAAAATAAAATATTTAGGTGGCGACTCTATATCTGGCAAAATAGTCCATTTTTAGCATTTTTTATTCAAAATCGATTTTCTAAAAGATTTGTCAGATTTGGACTCTTTGGTATTCATCAATTTCACATTGCACTTGTGAGATTAGATTCAAAACCGTGAGAGTCCGAACTGTAGGGCATATTTTCGAACTACCGAAGGGGGGTGCGAAAAAGGAGAGCTACACCACTACAAAAAAAAATGCACTTTTAGCGACCACTTTGTCATCACTCGGTCTCTGTCTCTGTTTCTCTCTCTATCTCTCTTCTCTATCTGTCTCTCACTCATCTCTCTCTCTCACCACCCATCTCTTCTACCACCTTCACCACTACTGCAAATGTCATTCCACTACTACCACTACTACTACTTTGTCACTCTACCTCTACGACTACCATTACTACTACCATCGCCACTACTCCATTACCACCACCACCACTACTGCCACTACTACTACCATTACCTCTCCTCCACCACCGCCACTCCATCTCCTCTACCACTACCAAAACTTCACCACTAATCTCCTTCGCCGCCACCACCACCACCATCACCTCTTATCCACCACATGCACCATTACTGCCGCTCCCTCTCCTCTTCCACAAAAAATTAGTTCTTGATTTTTAGTAACAAAAAAAAATGGGCCTCAGAAAAATATTTTTCATTGACCACAAAAAATTAACTTTATTTTAACGAAAAATATTTTTCATTAAAATATTACCCGTATTTCTACCAAATAAAAAAAATAATAATTGTTTTCATTAAAATAAAAATGAAACAAATAAATTTTCAACCTTAGTAACTAAAAAAAATCAAAAATCAAAAAAAAAATTATTAAATACAAAAAAATAAATTTATATTAACAAAAAATAAATAAAATGACGTCGTTTACACCTCCTCTCCTCTTCTTTTCTTCTTTTTCTTGTCGTTTTCTTGCTCTTTCTATCCAAATTCCCCTATTCCTTTCCCCCTTTTGTTTCTCATCATCTCAAATCCCCAATCCCTAATCCCTTAAACAAAAAATCCCCAATTTCAAAAATCCCCAAAATATGATACCATCTCTCTCTCACTCTCACGACTGCAAGCAATGGCAGTGGCAACAGCAGCAAGGGGGGACGACAGCGAGCAGGAAGCAATAACGGTGAGCAGCGAGTGATGACGGCTAGTAACGGCAGCAGCGGTGCGGCGTCTCAGATACCTTTGCCGATACCTTTGTCGTTGGGTCGTTCGCTGTGGTCAAACTAATATTTTGTTTTGATTTGTGAATTTCCTTCAAAAAATAATCAAAACAAAAATTAGGGTTTTGATTTGTGAATTTCCTTTGAAAAATTAGGATTTTGATTGAGAAGCTCAAAAATTAAAATTTTGTTACCCTTAAACCAGGTTTGGAGATTCAAACTAGGGTTTTGATTTGGGGTTTTCTTATTCACTCACTATTAAATGAGTCTTCTTCTCTAAACTAACACAAAATGGGTCTTCTTCTCTTCTTTTCGATCCTCCTATGTCCCCTTCAAGTACGTCTCTCCGATTTAACCCGTCGGCCATGGTGCTTACAGCATCGTTTGGTAACCCCCTCTTTCTCTCTCTCTCTTCTTCACTTTCTCTCACTATATAGATATATACATATATGATATGTGTGTGTGTGTGTGTTTGTGTAAGAAAATGAAAGAAAACTAGATTTGACTACTCAATCCCTAAATTTTGTTTTGTTTTAAGGAGTTCTCGTAATTGGGTTTTGATTTTATCTTTGCTTCCAAATGCCAATTAGGATGTATATAAATGTGTGCGCTTGTATGTAATTATGTATGTATTCTTACCATTTCGTTTAAATAAGAAACCAGTGCAAATTAAGGCTATGTTCGAATCATGGATTTGGGTCATTTCCTTTTCGAAATCTGTACCCAAAAGAAAAACAATCCAGGTAATTATTTTTTGAAATTGTCACCCTTCTCTAGACATAGTTTTTATTTTTCACATGTTTGATAGTGACAATGTAAAGAATTCAGATGAAGGTGCATAGTTGTGGATGTTTTTAGGGACAAAACAAAGATTTTGGGTCAAGATTTTTAAGCATTTTGAAACAAAGTAGTGTTGGTCATGTTTTTATAAATGTAATTTTGGTCAATATAAATGAAAAAAAAAATATTTTTGTTAATTATTTATGATCAAATAGTTAACTTGTAGATTATAATCCTTGTAATTTTCCTTTGGTTTTGTTGCTTCTTTCTGTTGGTCTTCCAAGATTACATGGTAAAAGTTCGAAGGACTAATTTTCTACTGCTTAAGTACATTCATAATCCAATTCAGAATGAGTTTTGTTAGCTGTGAAAGTATTTCCTATGAACATGGAAACAAGCACAACTTGTTATTCAAATTCAAATTTGTTATTTAATTTTTTAACTTGTTTGCTGAACCTTTCTGATTCTGATGTTCGAAATACGCATAACCAAGTGAATGTTTCATCAAGAACTTGTCTTTCTTATTGAAAAGCCAATTTCCTATTTTCCCATTGTTTTTTCTATGGGGATTGTGGTAGTGAAGTATATATATAGCAGTTATTGTTGCGTTGCACTCAAACATGCCATCTTACATTGTCATTGTACTAAATAAATTTGTTAAGTTTCTCCTGCAGCTACTTTACAGTATTAAGCTGGGTAGAGATTCTGTCATATTTTTTTTTTTTTACTATAATAATAAATATATATTATATTTTTTCCTTTTGGGGACAAGGTGTTCTATGATGTTACCTTCTTACATGTCCATATTAGAAATTTTATTGGGATTATGTCAAGCATTCTCAATTCAAGGCCTATGCAAGTTAGAATAACAATGTAGTGACAATTCTTCCCCCGTGCATTCCAAGCATGCTGGTTTTAGACCTTGAATATATGCACAAAATCTTTCTAATTTGAACCCAATAAAGCTAGGGACAGAACAGATCAACCTTTGCAATTGAGTGAGTATTGCAATGGTTTGCTCACTTGTGCAGAAATTGGGTTGTTCTTTCCAGAATTTTGTTGTAGAGAAGTGAGAATGGTAAAAAAAGCACAATACTTGTGAACATAAATGTAATATCATTATTGGTATCTTGAACTCTTCACAGAAAAGCTTGAGCTACCAAAAGTTCATTTCTGATTTCTTATGGTCCTTGTCTAAAACATGGAATTGTGGATAGAAGTCTTGAATGATCACCAGATAGAAATATCGATGCACTTATTTTATTTTGAGGAGAGGAGTCTTGCCGACCTTAACCCTCCTGATGTGATGCAATTGGTTGTCATTACATTTCAAACACCAAGAAGAAACTGAATGATGTTATACTTTTTCTTGGACTTGAGTACCTCTATATAGGATAGCAAAGGCAGTAAGTTAAGAGAGTTCCCCTTTCCTGGTCTAAAACCAACAAACGGAGGAATTGACATAGGCCCTAACTCTACGGAATGAAACTTAAGTAGCTATGCCTGAGCTTTAGATTTATTTGGATCCTCTCCAACCTTCTACCAAAGGATGTAGAAAAATCAAATAATGGAATCTGTAATTACTATTCTTGAATTTTTTGATGTGTTGTTTTATTTAAACCCACCATGAATGAATGAGGACAAAAACAAAATTTGATAAGCCTCCCTCTATTTCGAAGACATTTATTTGGATCTTATATGTGAATCATATATGTAATTGGGTTTTTCTTACCAAAAAGTGTGCTTTGCATATTAGGATTTCAATTGCTATTTGATTTTGAAAGGAAGTATGTGAGATCAAGTATTTTATTAGTTACAAATATATCTTAATATAACATGTAGACATCTACTTCTAAGTCACCTTGCAAGTACATTTGGTTGTTTGCCGTTGTACCTTACATATGTTGACATGCTAAATTCCCATGTTATGGCAGGTTGTCCCTACAGCTTCTATTTTTGGTTCATCATGGACCAATTGGCAACAAATATTTGCACACACAAAGTAAGTTTTCTCATTTTATTGGCAACTTATAATTATCAAAATATGTGTACATGTGTATGTATATAATGTTATTGAAGAACCAAAAAAAAAAAGAAAATAAGAACTAAGCATCTAAATAGTGGATTTTACCATGTATATGTATGTATATACACATCTCTACTGGTTTGAATTTTACCACATGAATTCATGTTGAAATTTCCTCGATTTTTGCTTTTTCTAAATTAATCAATGTCCAACATGTAATTTTCTAAATGGCAATTTGGATTTCCTATTTAATCATTACATGATCTTACTAGTTAATTTTATCCATGAAGGTGCATTTTATTCGCTAAATCTTAATTTTATTGTTATATATATATACATGTATATGTGTGTATGTATCTAACTATGCATCTGAATATGATTGTTTTCGTGTTTTGATGATTTACATAATTATAACAGGTTACTCTATTCATGATTATAAGTGCACATCTCTTTCTCATTCTCATTCTTGTGAATTTTCTTTGCTTTTATGTTTTTAATATTTTCTAAAATAGACCCATTCTTTGTCTATAAATGTGAGCAATGTTGATATCAATCAGTGTCTCTTTGTCTATGGTCTTTAGTTATCCATATCTGATGGGATATGGAGGAGAAGATTTTCTTATATATGCTATATGAAATAGTTCAAGGATTTAAAGTTTAAGATTCATAATTACATTGGAGATTTTAACGTCTTTTGATCTTAATTAAGACGTCACTGCATTCAAGAAACTTAGAATTCGAGGTATTGAGACCCCAAAATCACCAAACGATGTTGGATTAGCATGAAACTTGGCGGACACGACGGCCTAGGCACGAGAGACTTGTGGGAGAAGACAAGACTCGAATCAGGTTCTTGGTTTTGGAGTTAGAGCTAGATTTTAGTCTAGGCAAATTAGTTCTTTAAGAAACTTAGAATTCGAGTTGTTGACGTCTCAAAATCACCAAACGGTACCGGATTAGCACGAAAACTGGCACACACAGCCGTTTAGGCATGAGAGACTTGTGGGAGAAGACAAGACTCGAATCGGGTTCCCCGTTTGGAAGTTAGAGCCGAATTTCGGTCTAGGCAAGCTAGTTCCTTAAGAAACTTAGAATTTAAGGTGTTGACGCCCCAAAATCACCAAACGGCGTCGGATTAGCATGAAACTTGGCACAAACGCCCGCCTTGGTATGATAGACTTGTGGGAGAAGACAAGACTTGAATTGGGTTCTTGGTTTAGGAGTTAGAGCCAGATTTCGGTCTAGGCAAACTAGTTCTTTAAGAAACTTAGAATTCGAGGTGTTGACGGCCAAATCACCAAACGGCATTGGATTAGCACAAAACTTGGCACACACAACCGCCTTGGCACAAGAGACTTGTGGGAGAAGAGAGGACTCGAATCGGGTTCTCGATTTGGTAGTTAGAGTCAGATTTCAGTCTAGGCAAACTAGTTCCTTAAGAAACATAGAATTCGAGGTGTTGGTGCCCCAAAATCACCAAACGACATTGGATTAGCATGAAACATGGCACACACGACCGTCTTGGCACGAGAGACTTGTGGGAGAAGACGAAACTCGAATCGGGTTCCCGATTTGGGAGTTATAGCCATATTTTAGTCTAGGCAAACTAGTTTCTTAAGAAACTTAGAATTCGAGGTGTTGACGCCCCAAAATCACCAAACGACGTCAGATTAGCACGAAACTTGGCACACATGACCACCTAGACACGAGAGACTTGTGGGAGAAGACGGGACTCGAATCGGGTTTCCGGTTTGGGAGTTGGAGCCGGATTTTGGTCTAGGCAAACTAGTTCTTTAAGAAACATAGAATTCGAGGTGTTAACACCCCAAATCACCAAACAGTGTCGGATTAGCATGAAACTTGGCATACACAACCGCCTTGGCACGAGAGACTTGTGGGAGAAGACAGAACTCGAATTGGGTTCCCAGTTTGGGAGTTAAAGCCGAATTTCGGTCTAGGCAAACTAGTTCCTTAAAAAACTTAGAATTCGAGGTGTTGAAGCCCCAAAAACACCAAACGACATCGGATTAGCACGAAACTTGGCACACACGACCATCTAGGCACGAGAGACTTGTAGGAGAAGACAAGACTTGAATCGGGTTCTTGGTTTAGGAGTTAGAGCTGGACTTCGGTCTACGCAAAACTAGTTCCTTAAGAAACTTAGAATTCGAAGTGTTGACGCCCCAAAATCATCGAATGGTGTCGGATTAGCATGAAACTTTGCACACACGACCGCCTAGGCACAAGAGACTTATGGGAGAAGACGGGACTCGAATCGGGTTCCTGGTTTGGGAGTTAGAGTCGGGTTTCGATCTAGACAAACTAGTTCCTTAAGAAACTTAGAATTCGAGGTGTTAATGCCCTAAAATCACCAAATGGTGTTGGATTAGCACGAAACTTGGCACACACGACCGCCTTGGCACGAGAGACTTATGGAAGAAGATGAGACTCGAATCGGATTCCTAGTTTGGGAGTTAGAGCCGAATTTCAGTCTAGGCAAAATTATTTACTTAATTATCTTTGTAATTGTATAGTAGTTAATTTTTCATGTTTTTTTTTTTTTTTGTAATTAACATATGAACACATAATTATATTGTCTTTAATTATTTTTGTGTTTTTTTTTTTAGATATTTTTCGAGTAGGAGTTTGTTTTTTGTGGAATGCATGCCTATGAAGAATGTAACTAACTTTTGTTTTTGTTATCCACAAAGAATGATGAGGAAAACTTTTGTTTTTGGTTTATGTTATTTTGAATTGTTAACAACATTATATATTTAAACATTATATATGTATTATGGAACATTATGTAGTGGGCTAATTTTGTTGATGTGTAGTTATGAATGCAAGAATATTTTTATTATGGAGAAATTGTTATTTCTATACAGAAATTTTTATATTATTATGCAATTATTGGTTTATTTTTCATTTTTATATTTAATACAGGTAATTTTAAAATTTTTAATAATTTTATTATAGTTTTTTTTTTTTTGGCAACGGCACCACACTGTCGCAAAAAAACATTAGAATTAAAATCTATTTTTTTGGCGACATAGGCAATGCGTCGCAAAAGAAATTGGTGACAGAGGTCATGCCGTCACAACAAAAAAACATTTCGTGACAATATTTTTTTTGTCGTCTTAAATAAAACTTTTAGCAACGGTACAACATTATCATTGCAAGAGGTCTCAATTTTTTACATATTATAGGCGATAGTAAAATGCCGTCACAAAAGGCCACATTTGCTGTCGAAAAAAAAAGGTGATGACACTATGCCGTCGCTAAAACGTTTTAGCGACGCCCTCTGTTGTGACCCCCCCCCTTTGCCGTCGCTAAAAGTTTTTTACCGTCGCAAAAAAACTGAAATTTTTGTAGTGTTAACTGAGTGCTATGGATTACTTAAGCTGAATTTTACTTCTGTGAATCTGAAGAATGTGGTAATGGAGCTCATTAGACATTGTCATTGAAGGCTAGAAATTTCTTACCCATATGTCACATCATTTAATTTCTTAGAGATAGAATGCTTGGATTTGAATAATGTACCATCTATTGTTGATACTGCTCTTGACTTCCATGGTGATGGTTTCTGTTGTGCTCGTGGTTAGTATCAAGATGTCAAAATGATTTTTGAGAAGGTCCGTCATGCTAAGATCATTACAATGTCTACTAGGACTATTCTGGTACGATGTTATCTCCTTATTGAAGAATTTAGTGTACAATCTACATGGTAGCAATTTGTTCACTGCTTTATCATGATTAATTTAAATAAAAGGATCAACTTGTACAGTTTGAGAGTGCTAAGTTTCATTATCCAAAACGTGGTTAGAAGAAAACAAATCTCGCAATTTGTATTGTGTTATAACATTCCAACTATGTCCTCTATCTAAGCCTAACCCCATTTTAACCCGTCTTGAGTATTTGGCACACAACATGTTCTTATGCCGCATATCAAAGATTTGTTGTCCAGGCAAATTGATTCAACATAAATTGTTGGGGAAAAAAAAAACAAGGAATACTCTAAAAGTTTATTATACGAATTATGTAGCGTTAGCACACAATTATTGTTTGTCTGTTTGTTTCAATATAGAATGTTATTATTATTACTCTATCCTAACTTATCCTTTTTAACCATGAGCAATCAAATCAATAAGAGTTAGCTTTATATGTGACTAGTGGTGAGTGCAAAAACACTAATGAAGGAGAAAAATTATTCGAACAGTTATTGGATGTAATAATTACTGAATGGAAATAGGGTAATAGTTATTGGAAAAGTGAAAAAAGACTTGACACTGTTCATACAAACTGGTGTTTTAAGTTACATTTTCCAATTTGCCTAGATTTTCACTATATGGGAGTTCATGAAAAGTTATTGCCCAGTTTTGAATTGGAGGTGCTTAGTTCTTAAGATGATGTTGACAAAGTGGAACTTCCCTAGGATTGCTAGGTTGTTGAGAAATTCCCCTAATTTGAAGATGTTTGATATACACTTATGTCCTAGCAATGATCCTCTTCATGTTGTAGGTTCACTCACTTCATATATATATATATATATATTATGTTTACTCTTATTTTCACTGTGGATATTATATGATTTGAATTGTATTTGACCTAACTTGCACTTTGAACTTTGAACTTTTAGAACGATGATCGATGGCTTATGGAGTATGAGATCGATGGAGAAAACTTTTGGAATCTGCAGCAGCAATCTTTCTATTGTCTTACGAGCTACCTCAAGACTATCTGCACACATGGCCTCAGAACAGAGTCTTGTGCTATTCAACTAGGGCAGTTTCTGCTCAAAAGTGTTGTGGTTTTGGAAAAAAATAATGATTGTGATTTAGCGAGTTGTAGATGTTGATGAGCAAAACCGTGTCATGTCAGAGAGATTGCAGGAATTTTCCCAAGAGTTATTGAATTTTCCAAGAGCATCTCACCAAGTTGTGATATTGTTTTCCTGAAAAATGTTGTAGCTAACCAAAATGCTTATGATATGGTCGATATATGTTTGTTTCCTAAATTGGCCTCAATATGAGTTTTACCCTTTTGAATTGGCATCTTTTTTATTAATACATTTTACATTAGTTGGAAAAGTGTAGATATTTTTCAGCCATAGATGTAAGCAATTGTCAATTCCATGATTTGGAATGGAATTTTCAAGTTTCTATTGGATCATTGCGGATTAGAATGGATCAAATAGGTCGTGTTCGTCTGATGTTAGATCTCAAGTCTAGGTCATTATATTACTCAGGAAAAAAAGAATTGCTTGATATGTTTCATGCACCTTCACTTTAGTTTGCAAGTTTTTTTTAGATTGGGAAGAAAATCTTCATTGCAAAACCAATAAAAAAATGGAGCAATCTCGTATAGCGGTAGCAAAAGATATCAGAAAAAGATGATGGACTTTTTTTTTTGGGTGAATAAGTCATAAAATAAAACAAGAAAATTTACAAGAATACAAAGGGAATACCCCAGGCCCTAACAAAGCTATACAAAATTTACCAACTAAAACATATATGCTAATATATAACTAGCTAGCACAAACAAAACAAGCCTATCAAAGCAGCCACAATCTGTTAGCATATTGGCTGCCATACTGGTAGCAAATCTATTAGCAACAATTTGTTAGCAAAAACTAGCATACTAGTTGCCTCCATAACCAAGCTCAGAAACACACACAAAAGATGCCAATCAATGTTATGTTCTTCCAGAGTAGCCACATACACCAAAATACATAAACCAAAAGCTTAAGAAAATAAAATAAGACCCCAATCACAACCCACAAGGGAATAGGTAGAAACCTTAGAATATGAGCACAAAACCAGTTGGAATTCAGCTCCATACTTTCTATCCAAATGTGTAGCACCATCAAAATAAAAAGACAACTGTCTAGCACACTCCATTCATTGAACTGACGCAGATTGCAGCCTGGTTCAAGATTACGTTCCCTATAACTTTGTACTTCCAAGTTTCAACATGACCTGTTAGGACCACCCACATAGATCTAACCAAAGGAAACCAATAGAGTAATAATAGTGAGAAAATTCGCCAATTCAACAAACAATTAAGGTCTTCCTTCACTAGACCCATAATGAAAAATCCCTGTAATAAGAACCAGCCATAAGTACCTGCAGTAAAGCTAAAAAGTTTTTGAAACTAGTTCACTTAACCCACAGCTTACAGCACTTACTCAATATATAAGGGCTCACCCTCTCTCAACCCACCATCCCTATAAAGGAACCAGATTTGCAACCTGCACAGCAACATGATAGATAACAACATTTAAACAGTAAACCTCACCATATGGCTCACATCACTTGACCCTCATGTATATTCTCACTAGCACTCAACTCTCAAAAACAACACTCAACCCTCAAGAAGCTACCCTCCACTCAAATTTATAATGGTAGCTGGAAGCCTCTATTCTTGCTGAAACCAAGCATCAGTTGGTGAATTCTTAATGTTCTTCAAAGCCAAACATCTGAACCGGATCATGTTGATAATGCTTTTTATGACAACCTCTTCAGGTTTCCTTTCTTTGTTAAACACCCTGTTTTTTCTCTCCAACCAAATTTGATAAACAGTGCAGCAGAAGCCAAGCTTTTTAAAAATGGTAGCTAGAGATTTACCCTGACAATCTCTTGCCGCCACATCCACCCAGCTATTACAAGTCCAGTTAACATTGCATTTTCTGAGGATAGCAACCCAAACTCTAGAGAAAAATGGGTAGTGGAAAAATAAATGGTCATGGTCCTCTCCATTATAACCACACAGAGGACAAATGGGGGCAGGGTTAATACCAAAAATGACAAGTCTATCACCGGTATTGAGTCTATCCAGGATAGCCATCCACACAATAAAGCTGGCTCTAGGGATAGAATGAGGACCCCAGAGCAGCCCAGCCCAATGGTTCTTAGGCCACTTGGTTCTCCATTGCTGCCAAGCAGACCCAATACTAAAATTGCCATCACAAGTAGGAACCCAAATAACCTTGTCCACCCTCAACAGAGAAGGAGTCAAATCAGGAGGGGTGTTAGAAATGATTTCTTGCACCTCCCAGGAGGACTCATTAGGCCACTTCCACCCAGTATCAGAGACAATGGACCTCACTTTAGATTGGCAGCCAAGAGCAGTGTCAGAAATGAACCTATCCCTATACTTAGCCCCAAGAGGACCTAATGGATGCCAATTGTCAAACCAGAGGAAAGTTTGCTCACCATAATCTATCAAACATTTGATCAGAGGGTACGTAAGGACTCTAAGAGACAGAAGTTTCCTCCAAACCCAAGAAGGATCACTAGGAACTTTGACATTCCAAAAACTATGACCTTTTAAAAGGTAAGATTTCACCCGTTGGCACCGCATGGATTGCTCACCCCCAGATACTAAAAACCAAATATGTTTAGACACAACAGCTTTATTCCAAATCTCCATAGATTTAAACCCAAGACCCCCTTCACCTCTAGGAGCACACACCCTATCCCAAGCAACCTTAGCCCCAGACTTCTTAAGAGCAAGACCAGACTACAAAAAAGATCTACACAAAGCCTTAATCTGCTTAATTACCTTTTTGGGTATAATAAAGAGAGAGGACCAGTAAACTTGCATAGAGAACGGGATAGAGCTTATCAACTCAGCCCTACCTGGATAGGACAGAACTTTGTTAGTCCAAGACTTAATCCTGTTGGTAATCCTAGTAATCAAACTAGCACAATCAACCGCTTTAAGCCTAGTGGTAATCAAAGGGACACCCAAATATCTAACAGGCAGCTTACTCTCCTGGAATTGAGTAACCTCCAGAATATTCCCCTTTAAGTGATGATCACAGCCAGAGAAGAGCACTTGGCTTTTATTAGGGTTGGGAGCTAAACTAGAGAGAGACTGGAATTTGGTAAGGCCTTGCTTAATGAGAGTAACAGATTGAATATGCCCTTTACAAAAAATCATGAGATCATTAGCAAAACAAAGGTTGACAATTTTATTTTTCGCACATCTCCAGTGAAATTTGAATTGAGGATCAAGGGACTTCTCATTTAAAATTCTAGTCAAGACTTCCATAACAATGACAAAAAGGTAAGGGCATAAAGGGTCCCCTTGTCTCAATCCCCTAGCACCTTGAAAATAACCATGCAAACTACCTTTGATACAAATGGAGAAGGAAACGAAGGTAACACAAGCTTTTATCCAATTGATAAGACGAGTTAAGAAAGACATAGCTCTAAGCACATCAAACAAAAAATCCCATCTCACATTATCATATGCTTTCATGAGATCAACCTTCATGGAACATTTTGGAGAGGAAAACTTTTTATGGTACCCTCTCATAACCTCTTGGGAAAGGAAAATATTATCAACAATTCTCCGACCATGGACAAAAGCAGATTGCATAGGGTCAATAATATCAGGAAGTACAATCTTGATCCTATTAGCAATGATTTTGGCAATACACTTATAGATAGTGTTGCAGCAAGAAATAGGCATGTAGTCCCCCACCTTACCAAGGTTGGGGATCTTAGGCACTAAAGCAACAGTGGTACAGTTGATCTCCTTAAGCAGTTCCCCCGAGTCAAAAAAAGATTTAATAGCTTGGATGACCTCATTACCAAGAATATCCCAAGCACTATGGAAAAACCCCGTAGAGTAACCATCAAGACCAGGAGCTTTATTAGGATTGAGGAACCAAAACGCACTAGTAATCTCCTCAACAGTCACATCTTGCCCCAAAGTAGTCACCTGGGCACTCGAAAGCCTTTTATTGATTAGATCATTAACTCTACCAAACCCATCATAGGTACCCACACTTGGAGAACCAAGTAAATTGGAGAAGTGAGACACAAAAGCTTCATGAATATCAAGGGGTTTAGTCACCCTAACCCCATTATCCATAGTAATACTACTAATTCTACCTTGGTTGATGTTATTTCTGACAGTCCTAAAGAAAAAGCTACTGTTCCTGTCACCCAAACTCAGCCATTGAATTCTAGATTTTTGTTTAGCCAAACTCTTCTTAACCTGACACAAATCAATATATTTCTTACACAAAACTCTCTTAAAGATTGCAACTCCATATTCCCAGGATCTCTATCAAGTTTGAATTGGATATTCTCTAACTCCTCTCTAGAGACTCTAACTCTAGAAGAGACATCACTAAAATATTTTTTGTTCAAATTTTTCAAAAGAGGTTTCAGAGTTCTAAGTTTACAACAAATTCTGAACATAGGAGAGCCCTGATATACTTCCACCACACCCCTCTGACAATAGAGGGAAAATCAGGATGGTCAGCCCAAAAGTTAAAAAATTTGAATGGTTTCTTGAAACCAGTACCATCAGGAATGATACTAAGAATAGCAGGAGAGTGGTTAGAAGGGCCTGAGGGACAAAATTGAGCATGAGACAACGGAAAAGTCTTAAGTCAATTATCATTCACTAAAACTCTATCAATTTTTGAAGCTATGTAATGACCATCCACTTGTTTGTTAGCCCAAGTGAAATGGAAACCACTATAGGAAATATCATCAAAACCAGCTTGAAGAATGGAATGATTAAACAGTTCCTTAGCAGAGGACCAGGATTGGGAGCCCCCAATCTTTTCATGAGGATATCTGATAGCATTGAAATCCCCCATCCAGACAATAGGGCTATTGGATATTTGGGATGCAAGCTCCTCAAGCTTATCAAAAAGAGTAACTCTTAACAGGTGTTGATTAGCAGCATACACAAAACCCACAACAAATTGTATATCAAGTTCTAACAAGTGAACTTCATAAAAAATAATATGTTCATATTGAAATAATGGGCTAACAAAACAAAAGCAGGGGTCCCAACACACCCAAATACAACCAGAAGCATTGGTGTTGGAATTAGACAAAAAGCCCTAATTATTTTTAAATATATAACCAAAAATAGCCTACTCATTAGCATGTTTAACTTTGGTTTCCAAAATACTAAGGATTTTTAACTCCTCTTTCAAGACAAAATTCTTAATTTCTTTTTGTTTAAGAGGGTCGTTAGGCCATCTTATCTTCCAAGAAGAGATTTTAAAATCCATAAG